GTCAGGGAAATGAAAACTAAAGGGACAATATGATACAAAGTCACCAGAACAGCCAAACACACACAAAAAAAGAGTGCCAAATTCTGTGAGGGTATGAGTCAAATCCAAAATGCAAAGTTCATATATTGCTTACGGAAGCCTGTATGATACAGCCTATGTGATGTCAGCAATTCTAGCCCTGGGTACACAGGCAACATAAATTTTTATATGAAAACAGCAAAATGGCATGCAGAAGAACACTTAATAGGAAATTCCAAGATGGTGGAATAGGAAGGGAGCTTCCTGCTCTAGGTTAGGAGACGACAGTTTTGTTTTGTTTTGCTTTTAAAGGTACAGGGAGAGTGCAATCTCAAGCAAGAGAGAGAGAGAAAACTGCAGTGGAAATTCAACAGAAGGAAGCCATGTGGATCTATGTGGAGGGTGTGGACACACAGCAGAAGCACAGACACAACTCAGGACCCTAGCAGCTGAGAGTCTGAGTGCCAGCTTTGGAGACTGAGGCGAGACCAGGCTGCAACAAAGACACTGGTAATGCAGCTGTCAGGCGAGCCTGGTGTGAGCTCGGCCTAGAACCCTGTAGAGGACAGGGTATCTTGACAATCTAGAGGAAAGAAAGGGGTGCCATTTTGAACATATGTAACAGCTGTGCCAGCTCATGTCTGCATGTCCAGCAACCAGCTGAGAGGAGATGCCAGAGTCTGGCTGGGAAAATTGATGGGGGCTTGATACCCATGTAGGATTGTGAGATACTCCCAGTCTCCCAACACATCATGGGCTCTGGGCTCAAACTGCCTTGGCATAGCGCCCATGGGCAGCTGGCTCTGGGAGCATCTCCACTTCTCTGTGGATACGACAGACTAGCTGGGTAGAGTGGATCATTGGCATCCCATGACTGTGGAATCCTGTTGTGCTGAGGCTGTGGGAACACTGGGACTGTATGACAGGGTGCAGGGTGTAGCTTGGTCTCTGCACAGTCACTGTGAGCAGCTCCACATGCACAGAGCTCCCTGACAGCCTGGGGTGGGTTATTACAACAAGATCCGAGCTCACACTGAGGACCACACAGATTTTTTTGTGTGGTTCTTATGGCAGCACAGATGAATATTGCACCCACTAGGTCTAGTGCCAGGGCATTGGTCGCCTTGGAGGAGAACTAATTTCAATTCTTTTTACAAGCTATTCAAAACAATTGAAATGGAGGGAATCCTCCCAAACTCCTTCTATGAAGTCAGCATCACCTTAATTTCTAAGCCATAAAAAGATAACAGAGAAACAGAACTATTGACCAATTTCCTTGATGAACATGGACACAAAAATCCTCAACAAAATATTAGCCAATCTAATCCAACAACACATCAGAAAGATCAACCACCTAGACCAAATGGGATTTATCCCTGGTATGCAGGGATGGTTCAATCTTTGCAAATCAATCAATGTGAAACATCACATTAGCTAATTGAGGAAAAGAACTATGTGATTATCTCAATAGATGCACAGAAGGCATTTGATAAGATACAAAAACCTTTCATGGTGAAAACCGTAAGCCAATTGGGTATTGCCATTCATTGCATATACGATACTCATCAGACACACTCACACACATACATGATTTAGGTGGTGGTGTTAGTTGGTAATAAATACTTTGTAGATCTCTTTATTAGTGTGTGGAGATCAGACGATGGGAGTGGATGGTGATATGGCTTGAATCAAGTATTAAAGACCTGCAATAGGGCAGTGGATATCTTGCGTGATACCTAAGAGTGAGCAAGATGGAGGGGCAGATGTAAAGAGTGAAGGTTGGAGTTTGGTTTCTGACATGAGTGACTGGGCAGATAGCTATTCAGGGAAAGGGACAGCTGTTGCTGCTGTTGTTGGGGAGAGGAAGAAAACAAGCTAAGTCCATACATCATGCTGAGATGTTCATGGAGCACACTGGTGGAGATGCACCATAGGTGAAATTAGGGACACCGGTTAGTAAAACTCTTCTTTAATTCCTCTGGATTTAAAGATGGCAATTGGTATTCCAAAGCATCCTAACTTGAAGCCACATTTTGAGATCTGGGAACAAGGTTTGCCTTTCTGACACCTGGATCAAGGAGAAACAGGAGATCTGGAACGTCACCCAGCCACAAAGGGCTCTGTGGCCCTGAGCTAACTACCTCATATCTCTAGCCTGCTGAGCCCTTGCTGGATCTACATCTTCACTAAATGCTTACCAACTACTGGGAGGCTCCACTTTTACCATTTTTCACATTGCATTCCATTAGCTTCAATATTCAGTAATTCTCTCAAGTTTTACTGCTACTTATTTTTTGTGTATTATTTTTAGATAAAACTTCTGGAATTTTAGTAAAAAGCTATAATTTCCCCTAAAAATTTAAATGACAATGTAAATAAGCTTAAATACCTTAAGCCAGGTATTCAAACACAGACCTAAAAGAGTGCCATAAAATATTATTTATAAACAGCACTGCTGTCAGGGCCAGTGCTGTGGCTTAGTATGCTAAACCTCCACCTGTGGTGCCAGCATCCCATACAGGTACTGGTTCCTATCTCAGCTGCTCCTCTTCCAATCCAGCTCTCTGCTATGGCCTGGAAAAGCAGTGGAAGATGGCCCAAATGCTTGGCCCCTGAACCCACGTGGGGAGACCTGGAAGAAGCTCCTGGCTCCAGATAGGCCCAGCTCCAGCTGCTGCAGCCATTTGGGGAGTGAACCAGTGGATTGAAGATCTTTCTCTCTGCCTTTCCCTCACTCGGTCTATAATTCTACCTCTCAAATAAATAAGTAAAATCTTTAAAAATAAACACTGTTATAATTTAATACATTTATTCCAAAGGATGAGACTAGATAAATGTAATAACTGTATTGTAAAGGTTTCTATACTTGTGTATACAGTTCATATTATGTGTATTACTAAAAGCCAGATAAGCCTACTATAGATAAATAGGAAATAGCAATGTGAAATGAAAGACCTGTTTACTGCTCTACTAAAGGAAAGGAAAAATCATTTGATTTCTAATTTTAGTAAGAACTCTTATTATCAACAGATTAAGGTGTAGTAGTATATAGGTATATATGTGATTGCATTGTGCGAGCTTAGAAATGTAAATGCTTCCTTTTCTCTATCAATGACTATAACGAAGCTTTAATTCACTGTTCATAATAGAAATGCAAACCAGGATTTTACCCTTCAATTTAAAAGCTAGAGTATATTATCTGTTTAGAGTAAACAAATATGCAGCAACACCTAATAAAGTCTACTATGTCCTTTAATACCCCCTAGTTTTAAGTTTTGGTTGAGTTCACAAGATTGATCATGGGCTATTGCTCATAGATTTACAGTCAATAAATAATATAATTCTCAGGTTCCCTACCTTATTCCTAACTCATCTGCCTTTTCAAATCAAACTCAAAGCAGATGTAAGAAGGCTCCATGAAAAAAATCACTTGCAAATATAGTCACCTTCAGTTGACTACAGTAATGTATTCTTGAAAATATGCTGGATAATGAATTCTCAGATAGTAGGAACCCAGTTTCACATTTTTAAACGGGAAAAATAAAAATACATATTTAAGCCCTGGGGACTGTATTTACCAATCCTCTGAAGCAGGCATTTTCTGGCTTTTCTAAAAACACTGTGCTGTAAGAGTTTTCAGACCCACTGTTAGCTCCTAAGTTTTCTCTACTTCCCTATGTGTAGAAAACAATGTTCTGCGGGGTGATGGATACGTGTGTGGCCAAGCGTATGTCTTCTACATGATTACGTCTTTCAATACACTTTGTCACTTCCAACTTTTCTTCTTCAATAGGAAAAACAACTAGGACTTCCTCACTTGCTTCATAGTCTCTCCTATTTGTAGAAGGTATTTTCACTTAATAATATAGGCAAGATGAGAAGAAAAAGGCACAGTATGTTTAAACAACAAAAACATGAGATGTAGTCATCAGGTAAAGCGCCAAAGCTCAATGAGGCCAATGTCTGGACCCTCTCTTCCATTCAAAGCTTCTACATTTCACTAGTTCGCACGTGCCTACCCTTGTTACAGCCTTCCAGTTCAGATAGTAAATTCCAGGTAAACATTTGTATAAGTCATTAAAAACTATTTGGAAGTGAGAATTCAGTTCAGTTGGAGAAGATTATGCCAAAATCAAAGTTATTTCATGGGGTGATCATTTAGGGTAGCAGTTAAAATACCACTTGGGGATGCCTTCATTCCATATCACAGCACTTGTGTTTAAGTCTAGGTTGCACTTCTGATTCAGCTTCCCGCTGATGTGTACCCTGTTAGGCAGCAGGTGATGGCTCAGGTATTTGCGTTTCTGCCACACATGGGAGTTCCCAGTACTTGGCTTCAACCTGGCCCAGCCCTGGTTGTTGTGGGCATCTGAGGAGTGAGCCAGGGGACAGAAGACATCTCTGTTTCTGTTTGTCTCTTTGTTCGCCTTTCAAGTAAATATACATCAGTAAAAGTTTTTTTAAAACAAGTTATTTTGGAATTATTCTCTATATTAAACAGATTATGACATAAACAGCAAAATGGCAATATAAATGAAATTCGTCTGTGGAGTTACCTTAAAATTTGTGAGTCAGGCTGTATTAAATAGACTCCTAGACCTGCCTATATTGTTTCAAAAAATACATAGCATGAGGAGGATTTTTTGGGGGAGAAAGATAAAAATAGAAATCCACTGTTTGCTAAGATCCAGCTGTTACTCAAATCATATCACTTAAACATTCAGAGAGGAAAAATTTTTCTTTCTAGTTAATTGTCATTTTCTGGTTAGGTTACTTTGCAAAAACTAATATGCAAAAATACTAGTTTTAAAATCCCAGTAGCACTAATTAATTAGTTCCTTAATTTAAAAGCTATAATTGAGCTATTTTTCAAAGGAGAAATAAGAAGTGTACCAAGTAAAATGTGGTATTATCTTAAGTAAAATTAAAGGTATTTTAATAGAATGCCCATTGATAAAGTAGCATATTAACCTTGGTCTTACCCTTTAATTTCAAGGCTTCTAATACCTTTGAGTCAGCTGTTACATCACTTACTAGCTTGATTTCAATATCTTGAGAGGTCAATTGTAGCAACTTTTCAAAAAGACGCTGACCCTGGGAAAAATATTCAGAAACAAAGAAAATCAGAAATACTGACTTACAATGTATACCATTTTAAACAATTGTAAGTAAACTCATTAAAACTTAAAGCATGCATTCACACTTTAAAAGGTAAGTACTTCCATAACTGATACTCAAGATTCATAAACTTCTTTCCAAAGTGTTTATATAGAATAGATGCATTAACTATTCTGCCTTGTACTGCACGGTTCAGCAATCACAATAATAAATTCAAAGCTATAATGCAAATCCACCCCTTTATTCTTACAGCTATAGTTATCTACACATGAAGAGGCAGTGGAGAATATTAAACAGTTGCATTTGGGTCCAAAGAGATCTGGATTCCAGCTGGTTTTCCAATTTACAAGCTATGTTTCTTAATCTTACTAATCTTCCATTTCTTCCTCTGTAAAACACACATTAATATTTCCTTCATGAGGCTTTTGTGAGATTAAAGGAGTTAACAGTAACTATCCTTTGAGCACTAGCTATTAAAGGGGGAATTAAGATTACTAATCAGTGATTTACCTGACTTTATCTTGTTTAAACTTCTCTTACTGAATTTGACCAACATTCTGCCTAAAAATATCTGAAATAAAATATAAAGGTTTTCCATACAAAATTTTAACAAGTATATGATTTTTAGAGCTTTAGTCTTCTGGATTCTCCGATTAATGGAAGTCCCTAGTCACTACATTATGCCACAGGAGTGGATTGGAAAGTCAGCAGATTTATTCTCCTCTGTGATTTTTTATGAACTCTCTCTCCCTATAAAAGGGAACTAGTCTTCTTTCATTGATTTTCCAGTTCTTTGCTACTGGGCCATAAACACAAACGCCTGTAGGGACCAGACTGCCCATTACGCTTTGTTCTCAAAGGCACAGAAGAGGCAAAGTCTCATTTTACTTTGATAAGAAGAAACTATTGGCATTTACTATACAGAAAGGATGTGGTGGGGCCTGTGCTGTGGCACAATGGTTTAAAGCCCTGGCCTGCAGCACTGGCATCCCATATGCATGCCTGTCCTGGCTGCTCTACTGATCCAGCTTCTGATCCCTGTTCATGTGCCTGGGGAAGCAGTGGAAGGTGTCCCAACTCCTTGGGCCCCCGTGTCCACGTGGTAGACCTGGAAGAAGCTCCTGGCTCTTGGCTTTGGATTGGCTCAGCTCCGGCCATTGCAGCTATTTTGGGAGTGAACCAGCAGATGGAAGACACTCTCCCACTCCCCCCCTCCCCCTCAAATAAATAAATCTTTAAAAAGAAAAAGAAATGATGTGGTAAATAGGAAGACACAGCAGAGGAAATGTGAATGCAAAGCAGTGACTCCTGAAATTCAGTTTTAGAAAAGAGAAACATTAAAAGTCAAGACTCCAAGGCTTTGGAGTATGAGGAGGAGGGGGCTGGTGTGCCTGTAGCAGGGTGACAGCCAACAGCAGCCAGGAGGTCTGGCCTGATCCAAGTGTGCTGTGACCTGGAGCTGTCTGGCACTGTCAGAGGTCCACAGCCCCTGAGAGCTGGAGGATGGAGTAGCAGTTACCCCCATGTTAAGCATGGAGACTTCCTTTTAGTTGCACTAAGTGCAGAAATAAAGGTTGCCCAAACCAGAACTCCTCAACAGCAACGCAATCACTCGTGTCCACCCAATCCTGGAGGCGGCCTCACCCTATGTCAGATACTCCTGTGTGGTATGTTGAACGAATCATACAGTTATACAATTCTGCTAAAAGGAGAGTGAAGGAAGGGAGAGAAGGGGATGCCCATCTACAGTGCCTATGTAACTTATGAATCCAGGCAGACGTGAGGGCTTGGATAGTAAGAGACTCAGACTCATGATGCTAGAGAAAATCCACGTGACAGGGCTTTGGAGCTCTTCACAGACAGACACCTTCATGTTCAGCTTCAGCCCTTCTCCCAGAATGCACTATGCTGCCGTCACACGCTGTGGAAGGCCTGGGGATGTCTGCATGGCCTAGAATGCTACAGCCCAGACTTGTGTCCATCACATGTTCTCAGAAGTCTGCATTTTCCCCTCTCACAGAGAAATACTTGATGTGTTTCCTGAGACCCCGTGGTTCATGGGGCAGTATTTTAAAAACAACTTCATTTACATTTGCTCTTAGTTTACAGACTATGTTTAATACATATGAAACACTAGACATCATCTAACTCTGCATTCCTGCCTCTGCGTCAATTACGGACTTGTACTGCATTAGTTTGTGAAATTTAAAACAAAGAAGAGCAGAACTCTCAAACATGAATGAAAATAGAAACTTCGAGACCTACAGAAACTGGCAGACTATTGTTCTTTTTTTTATTTTTTAGTGTGTTCTGATTACTTACACTAAACAATCCTAAAACTCTAATTCCAGTGCTCACTGTGATGAACCTGGGCTTGGGCAGAACTTCTGTGCTTGGGCTTGAGGTTGAACTTCTATTAAATCTCCTGTTTTCACCATGTTATCTCCCTAATCATTTTTGCGAAGACGTTTAAAATGCAGTAACTTCCAAAGGTATTAAACACTTGCTCTATGTAGAGATCAGCAGCTAGGTTTAGTGCTTTCTAAATTAAATTCACTCATCATTTTTTCAATAAAGGAATAACAAAAGCCTCTTGGCTTTTATACGTCAGCAATTTGAAATCTTGCTCTTCCTGATGAAAAATGTTAACCAGTATTTCAAACTTAAATAAATCATCTCAAAGATAGTGGCTCAGGCATGCTGACCTACTTTAAGCTAATTCTTTCTTTTTTGATGAAGTCCGTAAAAACCTTATGATGGACTGAAGAGTCCCAGGGAGGAAGCTATAGGCCAGGAGGCAGAGATGCAGCTTCGGGCCTTGGAGCTTTTCAGGAGGCTGTTTAACATAGGAGGCACTTTTGATCCCATAGGGGAGAAAACAGACCATTTCTTCTACTGCTGGAGGTTCACATTTGGGCTCATAAACCCAATGGATAAAAGACAAATTAACAGAAGTCCCGAGTTTTAATTACCTACATATACACGTGTGCATGGGAGCCTCAGAAAGAAGTGAAACTGAAGGTTTTTTTTTTTAAGATGTATGTATTTACTTTGAAAGGCAGAGTTACAGAGAGGTAGAGAGGTAGAGAGAGAGAAGTAGAGAGAGAGAGAGGTGTAGAGAGAGAGGTGTAGAGAGAGAGAGAGGTCTTCCATTCGCTGGTTCATTTCCCAAATGGCAGCAATGGCCAGAGCTGGGCCAATCTGAAGCCAGGAGCTTCTTCCACGTCACTCACATAGGTGCAGGGGCCCAAGGACTTGGGCCATCCTCTACTGCTTTCCCAGGCCATTGCAGAGAGCTGGAATGAAAGTGGAGCAGCTGGAATTTGAACTGGAGCTCATATGTGATGCCAGTGCTTCAGGCATGTGGCTTTACCCTCTATGCCACAATGCTGGCCCCCTTGTATATCATCTTAGGAAAATAGTTAAAAGGGGGTTTGGAGACTCTGGGCAGGAAAACCAACTAATGGGATATGAGGGGAAGAAACACTGGGTACATGGGATATCTTGTTATGCAGACAAGAGCCTCTTGGTGGTAGAGTTGTCTCCAGAAGTAGCTCTTCTGAGTATGGAGAAACATTTTGCAAGGGCAAATTCCACTATAAATGTAAACTTCCTTTACAACAGGGGAAATTATACTCTATTTTTATTCAGTTAGGGAATTAAAGAGTATTTTCTGTATCTATTGTTTATCAATTGCCTTTGCCTCAAAATAATCTATATGTCAAAGGGATATGCTTTGGGGGTAGCATACTGCATATCATTCAATGCTAAGAGAGTAGGGCTCTGATCCTGTCAACCCAAAAGAACCACTGGAAACACTAAAATGCCCAAATATAATGTGAAGGGGAAACATAAAAAAATCAAAGAGAAATAAGAAAATCAGACTTGATAGAATTAATTCTGAGGATTATGTCAAATATAATGTTGTTTTTCAAGCTTGCTTTAGTAGTTTATCTCTTTGTTCAAATGAGAACTTAAACATATCTTGAATCAGTCTCTGTTCTCTTGTATATAATCTCCAGAAATCCATATAACACAGTTAGACACCATTAAATTTAAGCTTTCATCATTCTAAATGCCGTAGGATGTAGAACCCTCAGAATACTGGGATGTCATGCAAACTGAGAAAGTCATAGCTGAAGAATACTTTAGAGATCAATAGTCTGCCGTGCTCCAAATTTTTTTTAAAAAAGACCCTGAAGCCCAAGAAAATTAAGTATTGTACACATGGTCACATGTGGCAAAGGCAGGCCTTGAACCTAAATCTCTTGATTGAGTGTAGTTCTCTTCACATGACCATTTTGTTATAGTAACATTGGAAAATAAAGTGGAATTCCAGAAAAAAGATACCCCAACTCGCTCCCATCACTCCTTTAAGTTCCAGCTGGGGTTTATTTGACTCCCCCAAGCCAAGCAGTGCTGGGGCTGCAAGCACTTAATTACCAGCAGAGCTGGGTTCTGGAAAGTCCAGGGGCCTGCAGAATCATTACAAACCCAAGGCTAATGTCCCAGCACTGCCTGCCTTCTAAGAGGCAAGGCAGGAGTTGAGGCTGCTCCAAAGGCCTGGGACTGGAGTCTGCTCTCAGACTAGTAAATGATCTATGTAAATCTTCATTCACCTGAACAGACAAAGCCCTCAGTAATCTGAGAAAGTCAATCAACATTTGTAAAGCGACCTAACAAGAGGAGAAAAGATGCTTGACAAATGGGCATGGGATGATAGAGGCTACTGGATAAGACAGGAACTACACACAAAACACAAAGTAAGCTCTCAAGGATGGTCAAGGTGGCTGTTACTAATGCCCTGTGATAGCCAAACAAATTAAGGGTGTACTTAAAGAATAGTATGGCCATGGTTGAGTCCCAAATCACTCGCATGAAGTCCAAATGGAAGAAGCATTTCAAAACACACACACGGAGCCAGCACTGTGGCTCACTTGGTTAATCCTCCTCCTGCGGTGCCGGCATCCCATATG